TTACAGCACCTGGTATTACCAAGTAGTCACCCACCTAATTACTGACCACACTCAACGTTGATTAACTTCAGTGATCGTACAAGAACCGATGATTCAACGTGATATGGCCGTCAGCTCCTGATGTTGAATAATCGATTGATTTGTCGAATGATATCGAAAATGATCGAGTGCCAATAACTGCGACAATCAATACAGGATTCTCTCTATTAGTTGTAATTAAAACTGATAAGAAAGAATGGACAAAGGATTCCAACTGAAGAATTTTTTTATCACATTCACTGATTGAGACACGACTGGAATAATGTCCTTCTTATTTCAACTGTCATCTTCAAGTAGCACCAGACATTCAATTACAAAATTATATTCAATACATCTGCCACTTTACGCTGCAAGACAATTCAATTAAGAAAAAAGGCTACCGTTTCTCCCTTAAATGCAAAATCTGAAAATGAAATGGAAATGGAATCATCCGTGAAATGAAATATTGACAAATAATCTAAATGATTATCGTTTAAAACCTTGTAAAGAGATTAAATGTACAAATTAAAAAAGAAATCTATATCCTTTGAATATATCTCTTTAACCCACTGACAATCGCCAACAGACTAATGACTAGCAGACATAATCCATTAACAATCTTAAATCGTATTGACGAGAGATTTTCTACACTAAGGATCCACAAGCCAACTCATCCACTGTTCTTTTAGTTATCTATCTAAAACAAATTCTCGTATTATGTCAGATAGAAACTGGGAATATTTTATAACAAATTGTTTTCTTAAAAATTCTTTAAAAATTATATTGGCTCAAACGACTGTTATGAAGTTTTAAGTTTTTGATTCATAAATGTAATTTTCACTTAACGATATCACCAAATCACTGCCTAGAAAGCAATGACGAAATTTAAACGATTTTTAAATCTAAATTATTTAATTAGTTTAAAAAAAAACGAAAATAATTCTTGTAAAAATTAATTAATTATCGAAAACAAATCATCTTAAGACAGTAATGTCCTTAATAAATCTTATATATCAATGCAATTAAAAGCTTTTCTAATTAAATAATATAATAGTCTAATTGCTTTTTTATTTTACAAGTCAGAGAAGATTTTCGGGGAAAGGGCCAACTGTTTTATAAAAAAGAGAGATTTACTTCCTCTAAGGAGTCCTGTTTTAATTAATAAAAAAATACCCACCATAAATATTGAATTTCTCGAAATTTTCTAAAATTAAGTAAAAGGGTGGTAACATATGTAAAAGATTTTGTAAAAACAAAATCAAAAATAATTAAGTTCATTTCTGAATAAGTCTTGAAAATTTCATTAAAATCCGATAATTATTTAATTTTTGCAAGAATTTACAAATGAATGTTTCACCAGAAAAAACGCAAAAGCAAAAAAACTGGCAGTGGAGACTTCTGGTGTCATTGACCCTCGTTCAATGGCGTTCCTTCGGAGGATTGGCGCGATTGCGTCTCGTTTAAGAGACGAGCCTCGCGAAACGGAGTAGCTCTTGCAGCGTGTCTCACTGGCCATGGTTCAAGATAATGCTTTCTCCATCATTGCGGCTAGCAAATGATAGGAAAAAAAACTGTTTATAGTTACTTTGTTCAAATTTTTTTTTCAGTAAATAAATTTCTCGGTACTTCCAAAAAACTAACCTTTATCTTTAGTTCGACCGCTGACGTAAGCAAACCAAGAATTTTACCCAAATTTCGAACGTGTTAGAAAGGATTAAAAAAGTTAAAAAAAAATAACTAAAAATCTTGATGATAGCATAAACACTTTAATGACAAAACTTTGTTTTTGTTACGTTTGTAGTCTTTCTTCATCATGCTATGCTGTTTTTACCGCGAAAAAGTGGAGGTACCTAAATAGAATCATCTATACTTCTATTCTCAATGCAGTAACATCTAAATTACGAATTGATAAAAATGAACCAGTTAAATATAACTTTGATAAATAAAACTTAAGTTAAAAAAAAACAGAAAGTAAAAATAAGACAAACGATTTTCAGGTTAGTTATACAAAAACAAATAAATTCAAATACAGAAAAAAAATTCTGTTGCTGTGGAAAAGGTTAAAAGAAATAATAATAAACAATACATATATAACCTCAAATAAATATAATAATCATAACATATAAAGAATAATTGTAACTTCCATCAAATTATTATATTTCTATAAAAAAAGGCAATTTTTCAGCTTCGACTAAACGCGTCATTTTTACTTGAATTCAAAACGCCTATTTCCATCTTGTTGATGTGGCCGAGAATGGGGGTGAATTTTGAACAGGGCACGACGTTCATATACCATTGCTCGTTGAGGAGAAAGAAAATCCTGAATTCAAAACCACCTGCCTACTTGTAGGTCCTACCTCTTTAATTTCTGAGAAGAGAAACGAGGTAAACCCGAACACTCCCGGCTCAAAACGAACCAGCAAGGAATTGGGCTTTTCTGCCTTGAATGTCACCAAGAACAACAATTTTGAGATGTTGGGGAGTGATGACCCAATGAATAAATGAATATGTATCAAATGCAAGTGATGTCATATGTACAACAGCGCGGAAATGTCTGTCTTAAGTAAGAACAACATTTGGCTTTCGACGACCGACGGAAATAGCCGAGAAAAATATTATAAGTAAGTAATATTCATTTCAAATCAGATTAATTTAGATTTGAATTTTCTAATTTTACTCAAATAACGTGTCAGAAATATAAATTTTACTTTTGGAAGATTTAATTAACCGATATTTTTTTTGTTTACAAATTTCTTAAAATTATGAAAATAGCCGCTTAAAAAAAAATTAAGAAATCGAGCAAATATTTGACATTCTAATATATATAATTTCTACCTGAAATACATCAGAATATTTTACTTACTGGAAATAATCATTTAGCTTTCAATTAAAGCTAAAATGATCTTCAAAAATGACTTCCTAATTTTTTTCTAGTATTTTAGATTTAAATCCAAGTTTACATTTGCGTTCTTTGTTTCTTCAACTTTTTTCTAAAATTAAAAACTTTTCAACATTTGTATTTGTTTATTTATGTACTATTTCGTAACTTGTTATGCTTTCTAGTATTTTTCATTACCTAATGTTTTATATATTTAAAAATAAGCCGTTCATTTTTTTTTACCTTCTAAAGCACGTAATATATATAAATGTTTCCATGTGTACATTATTTTCCAATGGTTGTCATAACCGGAAGTGATAGTGTTGACAATCTTCCACTGTCTATAAAATGTTTCCCTGGCATGGGTGTAAAATAGGCTCTGACAACTTACGCTGGAAACGCCTCATAACCAGCTGCCTCGGATAGATGGAGCTCAGCAGCCCAGAAAGTTGGTTCATTAAGGAAAGGGAAAACACTGATATTAAACCCCTGTTACCCTACATTCATATCCAAAACATGGAAAAGTCCAAGGAAGTAAATCCAGACAGAAAACCCGAAGTGGACGCCAACAATGACAACTTCTGAAGACAAGCCATCCTAAAATGTAATGTTATGCGATACACATTTAACTAAAACATGGCACGTGGATCTACAACAGTCTACCCCAGCGAGCGAAATAAAGGGTTCAGTTCGACATTCCAATCACCTGAAGAAGGCCGGAGCGTACAACGGCCGAAACGTTGTAATAAATATGGCGACAAAGATGAGGACAGTAGTCCGAATAATGTAAATAGTGTATATAATAGCTCATCTCAGAAATATAGACAAATACTGAAGAAGGCCGGAGCGTACAATGGCCGAAACGTTGTAATAAATGTGCCGACAAAGATGAGGACAGTAGTCCGAATAATGTAAATAGTGTATATAATAGCTCATCTCAGAAATATAGAAAATACTGAAGAAGGTCGGAGCGTACAACGGCCGAAACAGTGTAATAAATATGACGATAAAGAATAATGTAAATAATGTAAACTTAAAGCAATTCGAAATGATGCCAGATTAATTAATTAATCCAAACTTTTTTGCTGTTTTTATTAACAACCCAGATAGTGAAGAATAGCGGTCGACTGATTGATTTGTTTTTTTGATGGTTTATTAACATTTTGTTGGGGATTTAAAACCGAAATATATGTTTTTCGGATAGTAAGAATAACTCATTTTTTGTGAGTGAATATTGAATTAACTATTATTTGGGAATAAAATGATTTTTCTAGATACAACCCCTACTATTTAGATCACTAACACGATTTCGACGACCACATTTATTTTATTAAGTCTTTTGAATTCCCAGGCCAGAAGCCGTAATTCCTATTGTTTAAAAATGTTTGTTTCTACACAAATATGTGTATCCACTAATACAACTTTTGGATTAATACAACTAATACTAATGATAATGACGTTTGATGGCATCGTGATCAAAGACCACAAGAACAGATCCCGCTTTCTTATTGACATGGAATTCTCTGTCGATTGGAATGTATCTTTGAAGATCTTCAAAAATACGTAGATCTTGAAATCGAAAACTAGAAAATGTGGCACATGAGGATATCAATAATTCTAGTTTTAGTTGGAACCCTCGAATTGATTGGAAACGCTTCCGGTAGAAAATATGTAGGGATTTATTTTAGTCCATGCCTTAAAAAATACAAAACATTGTACTCAAAAGTACAGCTCACATATTACTAAGAACGTTATTTATGTAAATTTGTGTGATCTTGTTTTTTTAAAAAAATGGTCACTGGAAAATGTCATGATGGCATTTCTAAACTTAGGTCTCTGGTAGGGTTCCTGAAAGAAATATGTATACAACAGCAACCCAGGAAAATACTACTGCCATTAATACTACTACTAATAATAAACAAAATGACTGGCGTAACTCTTCAAATAGTTTTCAACAGTTAAGAGAAGCGCGCGATTTATTATAGGAAAAAGAAACAATGTTTGATAATGTTAAAATGTCAAACACGGTGTTTCTTCTTTACTTTTTCTTATCTTAAATAATATATATATATATATATATATATATATATGTGTGTGTGTGTGTGTGTGTGTGTGTATAACACTTCCACTTCCTTCTGCCTCCAACGATGGTATATAGCTTTGCTCACCATCGTTTGTGAGCACTCAGAGTCCACTAGAGCGGCACACCTATATCCA